GTCAGCCAGCACGAGCAAAACAAAACCAAAGTCCAGCTATTTTCCACTTGTTCATTAGTATCTGTGACACAATATGGAAGACCTATTCAAGTAATTGACCCGATAATAGAAATTGCTGGAACAGCAACGCAACAACTCACTGAGAAGTCCAATAGAAGAGAAGGCTTGTGATACCGCAACATATCAGATGCAAAAGCCTTAGCGCTCCCACTGCCAGAGCCTACGCACTAGGAAGTCTGAAGGTCCCTGGTTCCAATACAGTACTGCTTCCCACTACCGCGCCTGGGACCAAAAGCGTCTCAACTCTGACCTGAACCTGGCTAGCTTAGATTTGATGTGATTTGAAAAGCCATTCATCCGACAAACTGGCAAATGGAACAATGCAAAAATGTTACGCTAAGATTACAATATGGCGCTACTTTCGTAAAGTGAGCACAAAACAGCAAACAGTAGTGTTCAGACAGTTGAAGGTTATTCTTGACTTTAAACATCAGCCTCCAAAGTCCACAAGAACCCTTCGTCATTCAGTTACAGTCACACAGTAACGATAGTCTGAACCCTTGTTCACATAGCGCTTCGCGGTCACAAACCATCTTCCAGTAAAATGTTCGTTTGTAGAATTGCAACACATTTATCCCACAACGGAGATCAGCCTAATCTAGGTAACAAATTACTAAAATGACTGATTAGTTAAAGTTCCAATTGAGGGATCGATTATCGTTCGAGGCTTCTTGGATGGTGTTAAGTTTTGCATTAAAAATACAAATAAACGCTCTGTCGGAGAAAATAAACCCAGTAGTAAGCACCGAGCTTAAGACTAAGAAAGTGAAATTTCGCATGAAAGGAGTGCAATCGAACTGGGTGATACATTTGGCGTCCAGAGCACAACCCTGTGGGAGTTCGACACATCGGCGAGAAAACAATGCATCAGAGAGACGAAAAATGGAGTTGAGTTGAAAACTTTCTACAATCATATCAAATTCGATCCTCAAGCCACTCAGATGGTGATGTCTTCAGTAACTTAGTCTCAAAGGATGGTTTTAAAGGAAAAATACATGCACGATTTTAATACCTGTCTCTGGATCAGGATCAAAGTAAGGAGTGTCAACTTGAAACCATGTTAAGTGGTACGTTACTATAGAAATCGGAGTCTCAGGATGAGAAAAATCCGACTCACATCAGCTGTGGAATACAAGGCAGTCCACAGAATAAACGAAGTTCTTAACTGTTATCAAGAAAGTAAAATGATTTATGGATGCAGATATTTCACGCGGTGAAAGGGTACATAAGCCAAACTGAACACTCAATACTGAGTAACAAACGTCTACATAGGCAAATGGTACTTTCAAGTTAACCAGAAGAACACAGGTTTCATAAAGCTTATTCATTACCAAAAAGAACTTACCCGTTGCAGGAGAAAAGGGCAACTGCATAAGTGAAGCAACCAACATGTTATTACGTTAGTCGAAATAAACAAATTTGTACATAAAATAAATGGCCACTCCAGAATGGAAAAGGAAAATCACAAGGCTGATGCGTGCTCGGTCGGATAGGAAGGAATGGAAGGACGGGATGAGAGAACAATCTCCAAAAGTGTACATTAGAGGGCATAATTGAGTTGACAAGACATAACAAGACAGTAGTCTACGGTGCATCTGTAACGAAGTTATCACTGTTTGCAGCTGGTTAGGTGTTCGAGAAAAGAAACAAAGATCAAGAGCTCAAAGCAGCAAACACAGCCCACATAACATCCGCCGGAGTGCCTGTGGAACCATAATCGTTGTAATTAAGATCCATGAGAGTTCTCACGTGCTTCGTAGCCGTGTTATAATCCTGGTTTGAAAGTGTTAAGAATGCATTTTCTAGAACGTCCGCCCTCTGAGACACAACGATTAATGAGAGAAGTCGTCTGTCCATTCGCTGAATATCGGTCGTCCAATTGCATAAAAGGGCATCGTTTATTCGTTGTATTATGAGTTGCTTAGCAGGCGTATTGATGAGGGGATGAGTTGTCATGTCGAAGAGGATAAAATTCTGCTTTTCGGTAGAGCAAATCCCTTTTTCAACAAGATTTTTCGCTATTCGTTCTCGCACATTTCGCATTTGCAAGGCGATTTTAAAAGGATTCCAAGTGTCACCTAGCAATTGCGTAATAAGAAAGAACAACGTACCACTTAGATAATCAATCCAAGATTTTGCATCAGCGGGATTATTGCTGCTGATTGTCCGAAGTGCTTCATCCAAAAGCATATCACCCGTGGGAACATTTTTTACAACGATGACGTTCCTATTTAAAATTAATCGACGGGCAGACGGAGGCTCCAGAGCAATACGACCTCGAAAAGCTAGCTCTATCAGAAAACAGCCACGGAGACCAAGACTAATATTATCACTCCAAAATGACGTGTATCCCTCACGGTCTTTAAGTCCAAGAAGTAAAACTTCTTCCATAAGGGTGAAACGGGTTTGTTTGGAATCATCACCTCTCTGCTTATCATCTTGTAAGGCTAAGTTGATATCTGAACTTGATGATCCATCTCGCCTAGTATTGCGACGAAAAACGACAGTCTCCCCAGTTCCAGCCATCTAGGTAGCTATTATCCACACGGAAGCGCTTAGTGCCGATTGGCTCTACACACAGGCGCATCAGCAGCAGCTTCAGCCAAGTAGAACTGGCAATCTTACATGCATTGTATGTATTTTATATTTAGTTGCAAAATAAATAACTAGCACATGTCGCCTAGCTTAAGGATTGAAGGATTTGCATACCATAATAAAATCTTTGGATGCATAACATGCTTTTGTTAGGGACATATATGTATTGAATCTTTGCTACGGTAAAAAGTGCAGTGCTTTACATGTTTTAGTAAGGTTGTTGGCCGTAATGAAGCTGCTGAGCGGGCTGGTCCTGGAGCTATGCTGCAAGTCTTTGTGATAGATCTCCACTGAAAGAACTTTTGTTATGCATTAGGTCGTTAGATCCCAAAATGCAACCTATGTGTAGCGTTTTTGGACTTCCCATAGGGTGGCAGAAGACATAAGTGAGGGTGAATACATGTATTCAGAAGACGACAGGGCAAATGGGCTCTGAGCGTGGCCCGAAGGCCATTCCACGTGTACAGGGACCAAACAAATTCTAAAGTGGCCGCCAAACGTCTGGTAGTCACATAATCAAAGTATCACACTGCCTCTCTCTTCTTTTGAGCGACGTCCTCGGCGCTTCCCTTGGTACACCTCCCGCGTAAGCCATCACAACATATTCGGCACTGCATGAAAGCACTCACGAGACAAACGCGCTAGTCAACAGACAACGTGAGAATGAAGAACCGTACCTGGTCCCCTTGGCGGCTTCAACTGGATTTGGAGTTACGTTAGGTCTGACAATCAGATACGAGGCCGCATATATAATGGTTGGGTTATGTGACCATATGGCGTTTGGTTGTAACTTTAAAATTTGTTTGGTCCCTGTACACGTGGGCTGGCCTTCGGGCCACGCTCAGGGCCCATTTGCCCTGTCTTCTTCAGAATACATGTATTCACCCTCATTTATGCCTTCTACCACCCTATGAGAAGTCTAAAAACGCTACAGTGGTGGCAGCGGAAAGCAAACCCGACATCTTTTGACGAATTTTAGGTTTAAGATGCTTTTATATGCAACACAGTGTGCGGGAGAATCTATTGCCCAACAGACACTGCTGTCTTACTGACATCCTACTTTTGCATTGCTAAACTTTGCCTGTTAATCGACTGATTTCCGGAAAAGAATAGTGCGAACAAACCGACAAGCAAAGGTTCGATCGGATGATGCACTGGTTCAATACATGCAGATACACCAGAATCGGGTTCCCTTGACTGGAAAGTTGAAACCTCTCTTTTCACAACAAGAAGGTTATAATCCAACCAGCAGACAAGACTGCAAAGGAATTCTACACCTTGGTGGAGAAATCCAAGATTAGTATGCGCATTTTGCGTTGCGTAGATGGAAGTCTGACTCTATCGAAGTGCAATAGAAGATACAGGCGAAAAAGGGACATGAATTGAAGGGGGCGCATTTATCTCGGTGACGGAGAATCCTTAAATCCTTCACAAAGAAAGGCTCTACACTGAGGTCTGCATGTGGTTTCACCTTACACCCGTGTTCAGCCGTGAACGATCTGGAAAAGTTCCGTGTCAGAATTTTCCATACAAGTTCGTGGTTATGTGTCGGAAATGAAAATACGGTTCTTCATGCATACGAAACAGTGGCTGATCGCGCTTTTCCTGTAACATATATGCTTTAGACCAGAGTTCCACCGTCTTATCCTGGAGGCAATTGATGTTCAACACGTGTATGCAGTCCTGAATTTGATTGTCAGACCTAACGTAACTCCAAATCCAGTTGAAGCCGCCAAGGGGACCAGGTACGGTTCTTCATTCTCACGTTGTCTGTTGACTAGCGCGTTTGTCTCGTGAGTGCTTTCATGCAGTGCCGAATATGTTGTGATGGCTTACGCGGGAGGTGTACCAAGGGAAGCGCCGAGGACGTCGCTCAAAAGAAGAGAGAGGCAGTGTGATACTTTGATTATGTGACTACCAGACGTTTGGCGGCCACTTTAGAATTTGTTTGGTCCCTGTACACGTGGAATGGCCTTCGGGCCACGCTCAGAGCCCATTTGCCCTGTCGTCTTCTGAATACATGTATTCACCCTCACTTATGTCTCCTGCCACCCTATGGGAAGCCTCAGGACGCTATGCACAATGTCCTCTTATACATTATGGAAGGTCTCGGGTCGCTATAATATATTTAGGGTTTTCGACATAAGCACAAGGCAATATTTGGCTAATTCCAAAACGTATTTTGCTTAATTAAAAACGCGCACTGATCATTTTAAGGCTTCCTGTTAAGTGATTTTATTTCTTCCTAAGAACAGATATAAAAATCCACGCCAATACCATCTAAAGCATACTTTTTCGAAGTTAATTAGTAGAAGTTCTGTCACATGTATGATATTGGTTAGCAAAGGGCGGTTCTTACGATCGCTGACTTCTTAACTGTTTGAATATTCGAATGCGCTCAGTAGGTCGTTTTCATATTAATTGAATGGTTCTAGTGCGGAGCTAAGCAGAGCAGAGGATTAGCATTTGATACTCTTTATTAAGTAGACTGGTGCCACGCTCGCTGACACCATTGCTATCCACCCCGGTGTCTTTAATTCTCCAGTTCTGTATTGAATGTATAATTATGTTGTGCGCCATTTAATGCATTAAGTCAATCTGAAACAACAAAGTCGATCTGATTCAAGGTTTTTTACTTTTGGAGTTTGATAACGCCTCTCAATTCTTCTCTTTTAAGGGCATTGGGCTTATTGTGTTTATATCCATCATCCTATCCTTTGTCAAATCTGATGATTTCTCTCCGGCATATTTATCATATGGTTCAAGAGAACATCTTATACTCACGAGTCTCGATCCCAGTGTTGTGTGTTTGCGAAGACCGCCCTGGTTCGAATGGATTTTCACCGCATTCCAGCATCAAACTATCAAGGTAAACGGCACCTCGCTGGATATCTGTCCGATTTACGCTTTTACTGCTGTTGACGAACTTGACCTTCGATCTCGTTCCCCTTGGCTTCACGACTTCCCTTCCTCCTCTCTTTTGTCATCCTTTTTACCATTCTCTGCCTCCAGCCCAGGCTACTTTGAGCTGCATGAGGACTCTTCCATTGAACTTTTCGGTTTCGACTCCCATTGTGTTGCATTTATTTCTCAACCCGGAAAAACACATTATGGCTGTCAATTTGGCATTGATGTTGGATTCGAAGCACGTGTTGATTGGCTTCGAATCTTCCGATTTGCGTGCGGCTTTGTCCTATACGTATTTGCGCCCACTCTCTCCAATAATCTGACCTTCTATTATTTCACTGGTATTAGCTTATCGGTCATCGGAAGTGTTCTGATTGTCCTCCTCATTGCCATGCGTCTACTTCCGAAGCGCACAACCCTCCTGCTTCAGGGGGCTTTGCTCATTGGAGGAGGTGCGTTAAGCTTTTTTGCCATCTACTTAGACTATCTTCGCTCGCTTCTGTGGAGCTTTGTGCTCAACAACGCAGGATGGGTGTTCGTTTATGTGCTGGGGACGGCTCTAATCTCCGGAATTATCCTCTACTGGTTTGGCCTTCCAGAACGGCTTATGCAAAGTTTTCCACGAACTCAAGTCCTCCTCGAGCTGCTTATTCGTACTGCTGCTGCTCTCCTCATAGCCTCTGCGCCGCATCTGCCATCCCAGTTATTGATACTTACAGACGCTATTAACCTAATGGCACACTATGCCAAATCGTGGTTAAATATTAGTCCTTCCTTACTGTTGGCAGCGTCACCATTGGCAATGCGTGCAGTATTTACCGGTGTAATCTTGGCCGTGATCTCATACATCTCGTCTGCGTCTTTGAAAGCCAAAAGGAGGAGGCGGCCCTTGGATCCTTCGTGGGATAATTGTCTACTCTTAGATTCTCCATGCGCAGCCTCATCGCCTTATAATAGGCAAAGTAATAGACCTGTATGGCGTCCACCGGGAAGCAGCTTTCTTGCCACCCCGTCGACATCCAACTACGGGGGTTATATCTATCAAGAAGAAGGCGATGAGTATGCAGCCATTAGCACGGAAGCTTATTGGGATGGTAACGGGTATGTGTTCTCACCCGTCCTTCGTGTAAGATCGAATAGGTCGACACCAAGTCGGCGTCAGACGGCTTCATCAAGGTCACCGAAAAGCAGGAGTAAAGTTGGATGGGTAGTGATGCAGGATGCTGTTTTAACTGATGATGATGAGGAAGAGAATTATTGAGATAAAATTGCGTTATATTCCTACGAAAATTGTTTTTTAGCCCTTCCGTGTGCTTTTATTTGTCGCTTTTGTTACTCTTAGTGTTTATGGTTACTTATGCAATGTAAGTACCGGTTTTAATGTCATAGAGTTGAATTGATCATCTTCATTTCAGTCATAGTTATGGAGAATTTGAATCACTGGAAGTGTTAGACTTCATTCGAACTGGACCCGGAATGCGGGTCTGACGCCCCATAATGTAAAAATCATTTTCATAATTTCGTCAAGTTTAAGACGGCCTGCTTTTATTTTGAAGCAAATTTAGAGTTTTCTGTTGGTATTTGAGACTAGCTGTGAATTTAGTTAGTGCTGTGCTCATTTGGCTTTGTGGATCCTCAATCTTTCGCGATCCGCTCTATATGTTGATGTCATGGAGTCTGTCAGTGTCACTTAAGTTGAGAGATTCTCAACCCCCTTCATGCTTGCCGTAAACCCGTTTGCTGACATGTAATTAGGCCCTCATAGGGGCGTCTTTTCTACCCGTCATTTGAATTTGCCGTGCTGAGGTGAGTGGCACTGCATTCGTTTACACACATCTGCTCATTCCTCCCCATAATTTGTAGTAGCATCAAGGAGGCGAGTTGGGAGGATTCATGAATTCGAGTTTTTGGTCTTCACTTTGCTACCCACTCTTGCAATTATTTTCCCAATAAGATTAATGCGATTTCCCTGGACTGATTTGGGTTGTGTCCTTTTTAATAGCAGAACTTAGTACGTACTTGCATTCATCCAAATGTGCTTTTTTGCTTCAATGCATTTATTCACTCATTCCGTCAGTAGTCTTCTTTTTTCAACTTCCTCTCCATCGAACTTCATATTCCGGATACGGTTCGTTTTCTCTTCTTCCTCGGTTTTTTTCTTCATTATCTTAATTAATCAAATGATGACCGATGTGAATTGCGCTTGAAATCTTGTTCGCGTAATTTTATAATCTACCACATTAAATCTAACCACTGAAGAGACGCTTCTGTTTCCACATCACATTCGAGTGAACATTTTGGCTCCCGCTGCTTATGAGACTGTCGAAAAAACGTCGGAAGAATTGCCCATAAATTTTGGAATGCATAGTTTCGAGTTAACCGGGAAGTTTGGGTTTTTTTATTTGCTTGGCTTCGAGGTTGAAGGTGAAAGGTTTTGTATTTGTTACTTGATATCTGCTGATATCGTGAGTTGGGACCATCTCCTCAGGGCGTTGGTTTTCTCTAAAGACGTCGTAAAGGGCAATGCCTTGGAAGTAGCCGAGAGGATGGCTGAACAAATGGAAGAGGAGTTGGTCCATGGCGGATCAAAGGGATTAGGGCTCTTAAAAACATGGATAAAGTTGATACTACCATGCTGCACGGTTTTTTGGTGTGTTGGGTGGGGTGTCGCCCTCCGTGTTTTTTCGTGGTTGCAGATGTTAGTCTCGAATGAACCTTTTTTGAACTAATGTGCGGGAGGAATTTGTTTGGCATTTTGTGATAAGGACGAGACGGGGATCTTTAGTAGACTCAGTTCTTGTCGATTCTTATGGGGGACTTCAAGCAGCGGTTGGAACAATATCTTCTTCTGATGTCAATCATCATTTGATATGCTTGCAGCAACGTCGTAAGTAGCGCCCTGGAAAGGATTGGGATGGTTGAATCTGTTGATTGGTACGCCGAACTTGAGATTGGGATGTTGGACGAAAGTCAAATTCCAATTTTCCACCCATCAGCTAAGCATAAATAGTTTTTAGAACTTCACAAGAATCTTTTTATAAACACCCGAAATCCCAAATTGCGAGTGCAGAAATCAATTCTACTTTCTTGAGTAACCTAAATGACCTGTAGAAGTGTGAATAGTTGCGTTGTAGATTGATATTTAGTATTAATGGTTTTAGCTTAGCTGTTCATATTTCCTTTTTTGGTTCCCCAAGATGATTTCCACTGACTGGAAGTTTGTAGACTCTAGTTGCACAATAAATTGGTGCTGACCAAGCATGGCGTTTGATAAGCTAAATGGCTAAATAGTTTTGAAACATTGCCTTGTAGAGAGAGCTCCTATCGATGTAGCCTGTCATTCGTTGGGGTCTCTTTGGAACCTAAATTAGTATCCAGTTAGGGCAACGTGTTGGTGGCTCTGATGAAAAAGCTGAATGTTTTTTCTCCTTTCTGCATTAATCGTAACAGTGAAATCAACCTAATCCTCGACTTGAAGGAAGTTTAAGTGGTGACGTTGCGTGAGCCATGAAGCGGACTTCTTTATACCAACTTATGGCGCTTTGGGTTACTTTTTTGTATGGTAGTTTTGATGCCTTCCGTCAGGGGTTCAGATCTTCCATTTCCTTAATCACAATTGTTGTTCTGTAATGACGATATTTGTTGACATTTGGCTTAACAAAATTCATCCATTGTGGGCTATACAAGCTATGAAAGGTCGTATCTTGTCATTATCTTTATTAGGGTTCCCTTAAATGCAAAGTGGATCTCAGAAGCTTTCATTCTTTGCTTAGTTGTCTAGGTTATAGTTCTGGCCCTTCAACTACTGACAAATGCCATTTGACGAGAAATTGGGTTGATTTGTAGGTCATTTTGAAACTGCTTTTCTCTAATTGATGTAAAGATTCGATTCACTTGATCATGTATCACAGTCGTAGAGACGGAGTTTTTCTTCGCATTAATGGCTCATGGAGTTGACTAATCGGTACTTCACCTTCCGATTCACTTGCCGTCGCTTGTTTCTCTTTCCATCATGTTTCTTGCTTTCACTTTTCTGCTCTTACCTGTTTGGTGTTTGGATCAGTTTAAAACGCTTCAATAAAATCGAGGCTTGCATAAGCAATGAATCCTGTCATTCTAAACTAGTTGATGGTCATTAAGAGAATCTACAGACTTCCTGCTTCAAGTTCATCTACTTGGCATGCGATATGGCTTGGTGAAACTGACATTCATGGGGTGAGAAGAAAACTGTTGCGTGTGTGCGACGCTAGTACCGAGTCAGTTCTTGGTGAAGGCATGCAATCTTTTTGTTGCGCTGCTAAATTCCTGCATATTTCTTTATCAGTTCATTAAAAAATGACTATCTTAGGAGGCGGAAACGGAATAGCATTTTAGGTTTTGTACAAAACTCACGATTCTTGTGAAGCATTTTCCGCAATCCGGTTTATTTTCACATTCTGCGCACATTGAGCCTTTCAGGTAGACGCTGACATCCATGATCATCCGTCTCCTTCACCGAGCCATGCGTCGCAATCTCTCCACCTCAATTCACATTCTTTTCACCGAAGGAGCATCGTAGGTGGAAATGGTTTAGTCCGCTTAGGTGCTTGTAGAAAACCACTCGGTTTTATAACCCAGTTCCCTTTCTAAAAGCGATCCAGTGATAAAACTCTCGAGTAAGGCAGGATGTGATGTTGCATTCATTTTAAGGAGGAGACGTGACCTCGGCTGAATGCGAGCACTTTTGCTCGCCAAAACTTAAACTATCTTGGATATGCAAGTGAAGCTGCAATTGTGTTAGGTGTTGTAACCAAGTTTTACCTGTGGGCGAGTTGGAAAAGTTATGACCAGGTGAACTTTTATGGTTATAGCTGTGATGTTTAGCACGGGATGGAGTCACTTACGAAAATCTGATTTTTCTCCGTCTTCAATGGAAAGTGGAGAGGTGGAGCTTGTGACGCGGTGCTAAAATGTCGCTGCAGCAGTTGATACTGGGCGGTGACAACTCAATCCACAGGGTGGAAAACCATGTGCTTGTCTTGCATCCATCACGACTGGGTAGGTGATGTCCATCTACTGGTTCTTTATGCCAAATAACTTTCGAGTTTGCCAGAGAGTCTCTGTAGACCAGCAATCTTGATCCTTTTAGCTTGTCACTCACCCTGCCAACCAAATACAACTGGAGCAAAATGTTAGTTCAGCGCAAATGGTTGTTTGATACTATTTTTTTTATTTGATTCACTAAGCACTGCGGCTAGGTGATCACTTCCTGCCTTTAACTGAGCCTTAAGGTACTAAAAGAATGATGGAAAGGCATTTTAAGGGCGTCACTTTTCAAAATGAAAAAAGGAGCTAAAAATTCAATGGAAAAATTGTAGTCCCAAGAGCTTAATAGTCTTTTTTCCTGCCTTCAAATATCACGGAAACAGAAGTGATTAGTGCAAAAGTGAAGCAATTAATCACTTTTTGCATAAACTAAAAGCGCCTTTGTAAACGCACCGAGTGGAAAAAAGAGGCAACAAGTAGTGCCTTAACTGCGTCATTTGAGTGTCTGACATTTTTGACGTTTTCCTTCTGCTTATCCACTCGACTGCTTTAATGGCGGTTTCCACAGTGCGCCATCAGACGCATCGCCACTTTTTGTCCCCCAACCTCCAGCTCACATTCCTATTCATCATTTGAAGACCTTACAGGATGGTATTTATTCTACTGATGAAAAAAAGGCTATTGGCATGATGGCTAGACCTCGTTCTCTACTTTTTTCGCCACCCATTTTCCATTCTTTCTCTAGCACCTTTCCCAAATAGACACGCGAATATCGCCAGAGGAGGGGAGGAGCATGTTCACATTTATAACTTCATTAAAATGCTGCTATCATGGCAGCAAAATTGGGTTGGGTGGTAAGCAGGCGTTTTGATTTTTCGTAACAGACACTGGTGATGGAAATGGGTAAGCAGAATTGTGTCAAGCCTTGCATTGTCTTGCTCTTCAAATGTGCTTAGAAGTGACCTTTGAGAAGGGAATCGGTAACCCATTTTTTTGTTTTGCTCATGGTTTTTTTTCGCCTGTAGCACAAAAAGTGACATCCAACTGCCCTTCCTGCCTCCAGCATCGTAAGGGTGGGATTTGTGGCTGTCACAGATCTGTTATGCCAGGTTGTAGGGGATTCAGTTGAATGTGCTGAACTGGGCCTGAGGTGGTTTTTGATATGAGCAAGTCCCTTCTTCTTTCCGTACTACGAATTGTTTGAATGCGTTAATCCAGCGGTGCATTTGTTGAGAT